ATAAAAAAAAAAAGAAAGGGAAAAAAAATAAATAAATAAAACTACGTCTGCGTGTTATTACAATGGATGAACCACCGGCTGAGAACCAGCCAGTTACGTGGCTGGGCCACAACTGGAGAGGGGAGCCGTCAGCTGTTATGGCTATAGAGATTAAGCCTATAGACGCTAAATCACTAAATTCACTGTCTGTAATAGTACACAGTAAATAACAACACTACTCACTGTGGTGTTAGTCCATTGTTGTTGTTTTGATGACTGCTTAACTAGTTTTTTTTAAAAAAAGTAAAACTGAGCACTTATTCTAATAAAAAATAGTAAAACTGTGGGACACGACGTGAAATGTGGGTATTCAAATCAAGCGCATGCGCAGAACTTACACGGAATAAAATAAGTACGAGTTCGCGTCCCGGTGCCAGTGGGGCTTATAACTCTGTCATTAAATCCCCTCACCCCTGGCCCGTATAGCCTAAAAGGTGAGAAAGATGAGAACGAAAAAAAAAACAAAGAAAAAAATCTAGTGTAATTGTAAATGATCTACGATCTATCTAATTCTAGTTTCAAGAGGTGAAGAATCAATAAAAATTCCTGAGCATGGGATGTTGATGAACTTGAAAGGATGGATACCTTTGGCAAGATATCTCAGACACTCAGATATCTTGATTTAATTATAGTTACTATAAGATATTTGTCTAAGGGTATCGTGTTACCTATTTGCTATTAGTAATCGGTATATCTAAACGATAGTCGGCATACAGGGAAAAATGATAAAAATAAAGATCTAATTAAAAAAAGGATCTATTTGTGATTTTAAACATTATGAATATATATGAAAATATTGCATGGAAGATGTTAATTTGAACTTGGTCAATTGCTCTACTATTTTATATATTGCCAACACAGATTTACAAAGGTAGGCCACTATAAGCCATTATCTAGAGGCCACTTATTTTCTAGGTTTTCTTATTTGTCCAAGTATTGTTGTTCAGTGGGACTGTCCTCTCTACTTCTCTGTAGATGGTAAAATTTTTCCATTATGAAATTTATCCTGATTTTCTTTTGATCCTTCAAATAGGCAAAGTCTTATCTTTATTACCCTTTAAGCGGGCCCTGTCCCCGCTTCCCCAGTCCACCTGTCTTGCAAATTATTAAATTGTTTGTACCTCAAACTAACTGAACTTATTTTTAATTACTGAAATATATTTTAATTCACATACAATATTTTAATACACATAGCAGTATGCAACACATTTTGCGTAAACTTCTCAGCATTCCAACGAAATATTACACATGCATATATTTTAATTCATGTTTCCGGAAATTACTTTTCAACCTGAATAAACACTTTTCCTTTGTTTCCCTTTTAGTCGATTATTAAGTTATTTCACAGCTATTATTAATCCAATTCTTATTATATATTCCTAACCAGGAGAGACTGTTAATTACAAACAAACCATACTACAAGATATGGTTCGGTTAATTTAGAGTAAACCGTTTCAAAATTTCGGCATTTAAGCTCAGTTGGACTACATAAATGATAAATTATACATACCTAATATTAAAAACTACTGAATAGTACATTGTATAATGGGTTTAACCAAAATGGTTAGAGTCATTCTCGAGAAAATCTTAAGAATGCTTCAAATCGATGATAAGAAGAATAAGATAAAAAACTTTTGGCTAATCGATTTTCGCAAAACATTGCTGTAACACCCCCAGGCATATACCTTCGTTGACTATGAAATTTTAGTTATTTAAAACTTGTCGTTTTAGCACTAGCAGAATAAGGTTATTTTTCTCATTTTATTTTTAAATACACTGACAGGCAAAAATTCCACCGACTTCATTTTTTCATGTTTTCATCTAAAAATATTTCTGCTTTGGATTGGTCTATTGTTTTTAATGAATAAATAGGTAATCTTTTTGTTTGTTTTCAATTAGGAATGTTAATAAAGAGGGCAATAACCCTTAATCCTTAATTCAATGAAATGATTCCAATGTTTACCTTCTATTGAATCAAAATGTTTATTCAGTATCATTAGTTCAGTGCCGTTTCTTGCAGCACATTTTTAGTCTCCGGCTTTTAATTTTTTCAATAATAAATTTAAAAATGCCTCTAAGTGCTGAGGATGTTGCGCATGGTGTGGCACTTATTGATGATGGACGTTCCATTAGATATGCAGCTAATGCCATCGGAGTTCCATATGAAACTTTACGAGACGCCGTCAGGCGTTTTGAGGAAACTGGTTCTTACAATAGAAGGCCTGGTTATTTATGGACGGCCTAGGGTAACAGAACCACGGGATGACCGGTTTTTGACTTTGAGAATTTTACGAAACCGCACCTTACCGTTCAAGCGATTCATCAGCTCGAAGAAGTTCGAGGTGTGCTCGGAGAAGATTAAATCAGTATGGATTAATGGCTTTTCGTCAAGTAAGAGGACCTGAGTTGACCAGAACTCACAGAGTAACACGGCTGGCTTTTGCTTGAGAACACAGCCATTGGACTATGGAAGAATGGAGTGCTGTACTTTTGACAGATGAGTCATGATTTGCTCTTCGATCTCCAGACGGGCGTGAAAAGGTGTGGAGAAGAAGAAACAAAAGATATGCAGCCTATAATTTTTCCCAGAGCCAACCTTTCCAACGTGGTTCCTTCTCGAGCAAAAGCCAGCCGTTATACTCTGTGAGTTCTGGTCAATTGACCTTCTATTGTAAGAACCAGTTTCCCGAAAACACCTGACGGCGTCTCGTAAAGTTTCATATGGAACTCCGATGGCATTAGCTGCATATCTATTGGAACGTCCATTATCAATAAGTGCCACAACACGTGCAACATCCTCAACACTAAGAGGCATTTTTAAACTTAATATTGAAAATATTAAAAGCCGGAGACTAAAAATGTGCTGCAAGAAACGACACTGAACTAATGATACTGAATAAAAATTTTGATTCCATAGAAAGTAAACATTGGAATCTAGAATCATTTCATTCAATTAAGGATTAAGGGTTGTTGTCCTTTATATTAACATTCCTAATTGAAGACAAACAAAAAGATTACCTATTTATTCATTAAAAACAATAGACCAATCCAAAGCAGAAATATTTTTAGATGAAAACATGAAAAAATCAAATAGGTGGAATTTTTGGCCTGTCAGTGTATTTTCGGTGATAATTAGGTGAATATGGGAAATAAACCACTTTTATTCTTTACTTTATATTCAGATAAATTATAGAGGTATTATTCTCGATTTAGCTATTCAATAGAGTTTTAATACATCGAGAAATGCCACCGGTTCACACACACATATTTTTTTATGAATTATTTCCGTTAAAAACTCAGATTTGAAATTGTTCACTATTATAGTACTTTTCCTTACTATATATTTCAAATTTAGCTAAGCCAAAGTAAAAATGCATAAATAAAGATAGTTCTATTCAGAAATAATTGAGTTTCAAGAGTCATTATAAAGAATTATGTGATTAAACTTTAAATCACAAAGATCAATTTATCTGAACCCAAACAAACTCTTCTATTCAATATAGGAAATTATTCCATTTTCAACATAGGTAATGCCAATTAATTTAAATTATTCACTATTAGTAAATCTAGACTAGAACTTCGAATCAAGTTCAAACAGAATAAATATCATAAATAATAAATATTTAGTTTTAAATTTACTTATTTATAATTGTGTAAGACAGCAATAGACAGACAAATAAAACTTCATAGCTTTATTTATTTTTTTTCGATTATGGATGCTAATGCAGCTGGCAGCTGCCAGAAGCAGATAGCTAATGCTTTTGGGGGAAACAGAGCTTCAAACCCAGGCACTTATTTTTTCGAGCAATTAATATTCTTGGGGCGAAGATGAAATAAAGTTTGGTCAGGAAAATAAATTTGTTATTTCAAAAGAAACTCTATATTACAAGATAACAATCATCATCAAAATTTCTTTTACTATTTATCGCTTCTTTAATAATTTTTAGATATTCTTAAGATGTTTACCATTGCTGTATTTATACTTAGCTCTCCACTATCAATAGGATATTATTATATATATATCAATAGGATATTATATATTAAATCCCTCCAGGTCATTTCCAAACAAAGGGAGCATTTATTAAATTATAGAAATAATAATACTTAACAGTCACTTTAATTAATAAAAAAATTAAAGTGAATAATAGATATAAAAAAACTTGTATAGTTGCAGCCCCTTCATATAGAAAGAAAATTTCTCTGTTTCTCCAACTTACCTGAACCATAATTTTTATTGGCATTGTTGGTACAGCCATAACTCAAATTGGAATTGTTGGTACAACTATAACTGTTACTGGAATTGTTGGTACGAGTTAAAGTTGTAATGTAACTATTGTACTACTATTTTAACCAAAAATATAAATACTTAAATTAAACTTCAAATATCAATATTAATAAATAAATATATACATATATATGACTTACGAACTTCCGGACAAGAAATAATAAAAAAAAAGAAATAACACACTCGGTTACTTGCAAAAGACTAACTTTATTTCCCTTGCATCCTCTGTATTAGGTCTTGTTTACATTATTTAGATAGGATTAAACATAATAGAGTCTTAACACTAACTATAACATTATATACGTGTGTATGTGTTTGTGTGTGTGTGTGTGTGTGTGTGTGTGTGTGTGTGTGTGTGTGTGTGTGTGTGTGTGTGTGTGTGTGTAAGTATTTATATTTAACACACACAAAAATAATTATATATATATGTATATATATTGTAATATTTTTATTTTTTTTATTTTATTTATCTCTTTGTCTGTCAGTCTATTATTGCCGACGTTTGTCTTTTAAAATCTGAAATCTGTCCTTCTAACCTTTAATCTTTCTGTTAGTCAATTAACCTGGTATTCGTGTAGCTATTTAAATTTGTAAGAATGGGGTTTATAAGCTTAGATAGGATGAGAAGGATAAGGTATATAAGGTAAGACCGCCAAGAATGATAGGGGGACAACCCCTACACATCCAGGGCTCTGCAACCGAGGAGGCAATCCCCTGACGTTGCGAGGATAGGATAAGGTAAGACCGCCAAGAATGATAGGGGGACAACCCCTACACATCCAGGGCTCTGCAACCGAGGAGGCAATCCCCTGACGTTGCGAGGATAGGATAAGGTAAGACCGCCAAGAATGATAGGGGGACAACCCCTACACATCCAGGGCTCTGCAACCGAGGAGGCAATCCCCTGACGTTGCGAGGATAGGATAAGGTAAGACCGCCAAGAATGATAGGGGGACAACCCCTACACATCCAGGGCTCTGCAACCGAGGAGGCAATCCCCTGACGTTGCGAGGATAGGATAAGGTAAGACCGCCAAGAATGATAGGGGGACAACCCCTACACATCCAGAGCTCTGCAACCGAGGAGGCAATCCCCTGACGTTGCGAGGATAGGATAAGGTAAGACCGCCAAGAATGATAGGGGGACAACCCCTACACATCCAGAGCTCTGCAACCGAGGAGGCAATCCCCTGACGTTGCGAGGATAGGATAAGGTAAGACCGCCAAGAATGATAGGGGGACAACCCCTACACATCCAGGGCTCTGCAACCGAGGAGGCAATCCCCTGACGTTGCGAGGATAGGATAAGGTAAGACCGCCAAGAATGATAGGGGGACAACCCCTACACATCCAGGGCTCTGCAACCGAGGAGGCAATCCCCTGACGTTGCGAGGATAGGATAAGGTAAGACCGCCAAGAATGATAGGGGGACAACCCCTACACATCCAGGGCTCTGCAACCGAGGAGGCAATCCCCTGACGTTGCGAGGATAGGATAAGGTAAGACCGCCAAGAATGATAGGGGGACAACCCCTACACATCCAGGGCTCTGCAACCGAGGAGGCAATCCCCTGACGTTGCGAGGATAGGATAAGGTAAGACCGCCAAGAATGATAGGGGGACAACCCCTACACATCCAGGGCTCTGCAACCGAGGAGGCAATCCCCTGACGTTGCGAGGATAGGATAAGGTAAGACCGCCAAGAATGATAGGGGGACAACCCCTACACATCCAGGGCTCTGCAACCGAGGAGGCAATCCTCTGACGTTGCGAGGATAGGATAAGGTAAGACCGCCAAGAATGATAGGGGGACAACCCCTACACATCCAGGGCTCTGCAACCGAGGAGGCAATCCTCTGACGTTGCGAGGATAGGATAAGGTAAGACCGCCAAGAATGATAGGGGGACAACCCCTACACATCCAGGGCTCTGCAACCGAGGAGGCAATCCCCTGACATTGCGAGGATAGGTAACCCTACACTCCCAGGGACAACCTGGAAGATGCAAGGGGGACTGTAGGAAAACAAGGGCCACCCAAGTTATTCCTACGAAAGGAGAGAGGAGGTAGGTTAGGAGAGAAAAGAGAAAGAGGAAGGTAAAACCAAAAAATAACACATTGGTCTGGTTTCAAACTGTCAGACAGAGAGATACCAGGAGCCTATGTGAGAAGGTAGTGACTCGGGAGAGAGTGCCTGCCCTAGGGGGCCAGGCTGCTATTTATACTAATAGTGAGCCCTCAGACCTGTGAGAGACAACACTAGTAAGAATTATTTTAATTAGGCCCTGAGATCTCTCTAAGTCCAAACTCCTTTTATTTTTATTTAATTATAGTACATGAATACTTATTTTAAAAATATTACAAACATTAGTTATTTACAAAATCAGTAATTACAAAAAGAAATAATAAATAGCTTCTAAATGAAATTCATAGTTCACTAGGAAATTAACAGGTTGCGCTATTAAAATTATTAATCATTATTAGAAAAAACAATGACTTGCATAAATGGATTAAATAGTTCATTAGAACAACGCCTAGAGGGCGCCACGCGCAACCTCCAAAACACTATACCACTAATCATTTACAATTCAACCTTTGACAGAGAAGGACCTCCCGTCCGTTAGCTCTAATACATCGTACCTTTTAATCTTTATCGATAGTTAAATGTTATTATTGTTTTTACAATTTCAAATTAAATCACAACTAAAATTAATAAAATACATAGCAATAAATTTAATTTATAAATATTTTACATATAAATGCTTCTTTTCACACAGTTCCAAAATAATAAAGGAACAAAACATGAACATGCGTTCTATTAACAATTACAATTTATAAAGGCCCTAATAAAATATGTTACAATATATATATATATATATATATATATATATATATATATATATATAATCTTTTAATTATCCCTGTTGTATATTGCTATCCATCATATATATCTGTGCTACAATTATCTCTTAAACGATCGGATTGATTTTGTTGATTATTTTTATTATGGTTTCCAAAACAAATCGGACGCCCTTTGTGTAATTAGAGAAAAACATGTTTTCTATAGACTGTAGAATCACAACAACTTCGACGAAACTTTCTTATAAATGCCTTTTTAAATCCCTTTAATATCCATAAAGTAGCAGGATTCTGAGAAAAGTAGGATATTGAACAAAATTTTTTTTGTTTTTTTTAAATTTTACAATAATAATCATTTCATCAAATACAAAACTTTTTAGTTTAAATAAAATAGAAAAAATTTCAAAAAAAAAAATAATGATTCAAATTATACTTTAAACTTACTTATACTTACACTTAGTTATACTTTAAACTTTACACCTGGGGAGTAATATGCACATAGATTTATTGACAATTATATAAATACACTTTACTAAGAACTAGTTGAATTATAATAAACACATATATTAAATTTTGTCGATTAGAATTTTATAATATATATAACTATGATTAGGTCTATTCCATACAAACTGCGGTAAGCTGTGAGTTTCCATGAAACCATTGTACTCTTCCGTAAATTATAAAATTATTCATTCATTTTATAATTAATGAATGAATAACGGTTCGTTCTTGTGTTACGTCGGTGATAAACATACTTCTACGAAGCCCGCTCGCTAAAATTGTCATCTAATAGATACCCGAAAATCTTCCGAGAGGTCTGACTGAAGATGATCTTGAAACAAGAACCAATATGTATCTTCTTGACTAATCATTGTAATGTCAGCTCAGGTTATACAAGGTCAATTTTATTAAAATATTAAAAAATTAATTAATACAGATAATATTGAGCACTTGTACAAGGCCGCCGGACTATTAGCGTTAAGTCTTAAAGGGCTTGGCTAAGTTGCGAGTGGCTTAGTAAGTAGAGGGATTATTCCATCCGTTTAGCTTAATAGGGTGCAAGTTCCTCCTCAGCTTCTTGGCCGGACCGCATCCAGCGTCGTTAAGCACCGCGGATCATTAACCTCTGCATTAAGCGGAAGAGGGCACAGCCGGGTTCTCGCTTTAAAATACCATAACTGCTTTAGGGTGGAGGGTAATGGCTACGAGCAATATACACATATCACAATCGGCCTATAGATTTCGATCAGGATATAGGAGATAGCAAAAAGATAACCTTTGTTCTGGAGATATTGAGGAATAAATATAATGAAAGAACGATCTGGTGGTTTAACTGCCACAACCATGGCATGAAATAACTAAAATCATAATACATAAATTAAGAACTATTTGCAAGAATTTCAAATTGAACTGATATCAGGAGATCAAACAAATAATGGAACATTTAAAAAAGTAATAATAAGAAATACAAAAAATAATTATTAGTTTAAACAAAATGCCTATTTTGGGGGGGGGGAGAGAGGGAGGAGGGATGAGCATGAGATGATTTTGAGAGTTCAGTTAAAAAAAGACAACTATATAGTTAAATATCAAACTATATCGAATGAGTTTATAATTAATTAATAGAAAATACATGAGTAAAAACTTTTTTAATTGTTGTTCAGTCCCTTCGTCAACCTTTTGATTGACAGTTCCCATAAACATGGTAGATGGGATTAGGAGACCAACCAGCTTACTGAAATATCAAGTGCAAGATCGCCGTTCTAGGTAGCTTTTAAAAAAACTGAATTAATTAATAGGATAAGATACCGAAAATCTGATGCAGGACGAAGGAAACTAAACCATGGACTTGATTTACTAACATATCAATAACCCTCTGTTGACCACTTACTCCCTCAGATGCAAGATCTTACCGGTTTAGTTGAGTGTGTGTCTTATACAATTTTTTATCTAAACCAATACTTAGGTAATATCAAATTAATTTGTTTATATGTTACAGCAATATATTTGTGAATTGCTTCATCAGATTCATCTTTGGGATTCCCAAGCGTACCAATGTTTCCTCCCAGTTGAAGTGGCTTTATCCTACTTCTCGACGGCAATTTCTTCTTGGTGCTTTCCTTTCTCAAGTCCTAAGAACTAAATATCCTCTCTACATCCTAGAACTCCTTACTCTATGTTCCTCTCTCCACTTTCAATACCAGATTTCAACCTATAGATCTATATATCCCCTCCCATAAGACAAATTCTTTCAGCAAATCATTCGTTATTCGTGCTATCTTCTTTTGGAACTCTTTGGAACTCCAAATTGGAAGCTATGTCTATACGTCAAAATTCAATAAATTCCTTCAAACAATTATTCCACCGCTTACTGCACATTCAAACTTCCGCAAGCTTGTGAGAATTTTTAGGTTATATTGCTCACCAATTATATACAATATTACCATTAACCATAATATAATTGCTCACCAACAGTAGAGTGAGAAGATCCATTTTATTTTAATATTTATTTATTTTCCTCTCTGTATTTTTGTATATATCTGTATCGTTTTTATAGTATTTTCTGTATATGTTTGTATCTTTTCTTACTACTTTTTGTATATGTATGCATTGTACATACATACCAGGTTGATGTATATATTTTTTGAACACTTATTACTCTAAGAGGACTTTAGTCCTAGAATAAAATTAGTTTTTCATTATTTTATTCATTTTCATTTTAATGCCACTATTCTTTTATAGAAATATAATATTGTAGCTGTTGATAACAAAGAATTGATTAAATGAATAAATTGAATTTTGTTATAATATTGTTGATAATATTTTCCACCCATAATAAATACAAGTGATGTATGTAATTAAACAATAATAAAAAAATAATTGTAATTACACAAGCATCTAAAATAATTTAACATAAGAAAGTCTACAATATAATAAAATACAAATGTAATACAATAAAATCTAAAATAAAAATTACGATTCTTTGTTTAGCAAATAACATGATTATATATATATATATATATATATATAAATATATATAGATATATATAAAATATAAATATATATATATATATATACTCGCCTCTAGTGTATATATATAGTTTCTCACCTCTAGACGCCGAGTGACGTCCACACAGTCAAAATGTGACGTAACATGTCTAATGTTGCATAATGTCTCCCATTCCTGTCGAGATACTTTAGATCTGCGATTATTGGTCTCGTAACATACCTGTAGACAGGGATTTGTCTAAAGAAATGTCTACGTAGACAAACTGAGACATGTCTCAAAGACCAAATCGGGCAACATGTCTACTATTGTGTAATAGGCTTAAGAAACAACAACAGTTTTCAACAAAACTCCCCGTTCTCACAGAATTCATATCATTATTAATGGGTAAGAATTTCAATTGTCAATTGAAATAGTCCTTGTACTAGGAACTTCCTTACTTTCTACACCTCCTCTACTATTTCTTGGTTTACCTATCCCCATAGCCCTAGCATAAATGTAACATTTATCCAGTTACATTCTTCTAGTCATAATCTTATCAGGAGGCTAAGATTTATATTCTTAAAGGAGACTTGGAATAATTTTCTGTAGTCAACACACATGGTTATTGTTCAATTAAGATGCTATTTATAATTGCCGCCATAAATAAAAGTGTCATTTCTAAAGTCTTCACTGTTTGCGGTTCTTCGTTAACTGTTGATAAACTTCGGAATTTTTCACGATATCAATACTTTACGTTATTATATATTTCACATAAGTTACTGAAAGTATGAAAGAGAAAAAAAAGAGAAAGAGAAAAAAATTTCATAATGTGAAAAAAGCTCAATTATGCAATTATATTCCAAATTAAAATGAAGATGAAGTATTTAAGAAAAAAAATGTATTTCTGGTTTGTTACTAATAAGTAAAATTTAAAACCTTATACATCCATACCTCCTTTAAAGTAATACGTTTTAATTAGTTTCTTTGTCAGTATTTATGATGCTTACTTATTCGATGGGAAATGTAAAGGGTCTAAGGCAACTGTTCCTTCGGTTAAGCTGTTAACAGTGGCGAT